TTTTAATTTTAATTTTTGTATCAATATAGCTTAGTTGATAATGTCGTTAGGATTTTTAATAGAAAATAATTACTGAGTTTGTTGAGGTTAACTCACTGAGTTGATCAAGTTAATAATTTTACCATTAAAGCATAACACATGCAGTTCATATCCGTATTTTAAAAAAATACTAATAATTGTAATCAATTGAGATAAAATCATAAATTTAAAATCAGAATCAAGTCAATTAAAATTATAAGAATCAAAATGACACAAAAATTAAAATATAAGGACTACTAATATAATTTGTCTAAGTTATTTTATTTCTACATAAACTTATTGCAGAATTGAATACAAGCCATGTAGAAAAAACATAACATGCACTTCATTCCATCCAATTTTTTGAACCATCATCTGAAAATAATTCATAATTCATAAAAAATAAAAATCATATTAATCCTACTAATTAGAAAAAGTTTGTGGTGCTAGACTTAACCAGCTACAAATTTGTATAGTATGAGTTTTATGTGTAGAATAAATTTGTGTCGCAAGACAGTAATTTTAAGTAATTTTTGAATTGTTTAGTTTAGGTTGGTAATATTACTGGTCTAATTAACATATATGCAGGGCTGGGGCAACTAGCAACACCATACGCATTACAAACAGGAGGATGGGCATCAGTATTCCTCCTAATCGGACTTGGCATAATCTGCTCCTACACATCCCACCTCCTCGGCCAATGTCTCTCCAGAAACTCCAAACTAATGAACTACACCGACCTCGGCCACCTCTCCTTCGGCACCAAAGGCCGAATCCTAACCACTTCCTTCATCTACTTAGAAATCTTCATGTCCTTAGTTTCCTACACCATCTCTCTCCACGACAATTTAACCACCATCTTCTCTACATCCCACCTCAACCATCTCAACAACTTTTTTTTATCTAATTGTCTCTCGACTTCTCAGTTGTTGACGGTGATAGCGGTGCTTGTGGCGTTGCCAAGCCTGTGGCTGAGGGATTTGTCGTCCATTTCGTTTCTTTCGAGTGGGGGGATTTTGATGTCGGTGGTTATTTTTGTGACGGTGGCGTGTACAGCGGTGTTTGGCGGAGTGGAAGTGAATAAGGAGGTGGCGGTGTTGCGGCTGGGGAATATTCCGGCGATATCTGGGCTTTATATATTCAGTTTTGGAGGGCATATTGTTTTTCCAGATCTTTATAGAGAAATGAGAGATCCTTCCAAGTTCACCAAGGTGCATGACTAGTTTAATCACTTTTAAATATCACAATCTTGAATTTATGGAGAGAAAAAAAAAATAGTGAATTAGATAGCGTGGAAATTATTTTATTTATCAAAATCTTATTTTATATGATTAATTATGTAGTTGATTCTCTGTCATTAGATTTAAATTGAAAAAACAAATAAAAATAAAATAAACAAAGTGAAGTTTATTCTGTTCGCTATCAACTTTTTTTCTCATTTTTTTCTCTCTTAAAAAATTCCTTCACAAACTAAAGATTAAAAATGAAATTTAAAAAATCTTTTGTTTTTAGCATTGACTCTATTTAATGTAACTTATTGGGACTAATTATAAATTAATTTTCTTTCTTTTTTTTTTTTTTTGAAATTTTAGAATTTGTGTCAGTTTCTGTTTATAAACCACAACTAATTTAAATAATCTAAAAAATTGTTGATTATGAGAAAATTGGCAGAGAATTATTTTTAATTTTTACTTTTTAACTTTTGACTTACAAAAAAAAATCCTCCAACAAACAAACTAGTTATATATGAGTATTGATGTATAAACAGACAAAAATGGTTCAATATTCTCTTCTCTCATTTTTTTTTTTTTGGGGACATGTTCGTCTAATAATTTTTTTTTTCTTTAGGTATCTATAGTGAGCTTCTCATTGGTGACAGCACTTTATACAACCTTAGCCTTCATGGGTGCCAAAATGTTTGGCCCTGAAGTAAATCCCCAAATCACCCTCAGCATGCCCAGGAACCTAATATTTACAAAAATTGCATTATGGGCCACAGTTTTAACTCCCATGAGCAAATATGCCCTCGAATTTGCTCCTTTTGCGATGCAACTCGAGCGCAATCTTTCCAAATACTGTTCCATGAAATCCAGAACAAGGTTGATCATACGGGGCTGCGTTGGTTCATGTTTGCTGCTTGTAATTCTAACCTTGGCTCTTTCTGTGCCATATTTCGAGCACGTTCTGAGTCTTACAGGCTCACTTGTCAGCGTTGCGATTTGTGTCATCTTCCCTTGTACATTTTACACCAAGGTTTTTTGGACCCAAATATCAAAACCAATGTTGATTCTCAATGTAACACTGGTTTTGCTTGGCTGCTTTCTTGGGGCATTCGGAACCATTTCTTCTTTCAAGCTGCTTGTAAGGAACTTGCATAGAGCTCACTTACGATGACAAGCCAATGCAGGATAAACTAGTCTTTTAGTAATGTTGTACGATATGGAAAAATTATTAGAAAAATGATTATAAAATAAAATATGTGCATCAGATTCATTCTGAGTGTGAGGCATATCATAACAAATTTGAATCTATTTCATGCATTGTATTTTTTGGTCACTTTTTTGATAATTAGTTTTAAACTTTTTTACTTTATTTTACCTTCTCAAAATTACTTTGCGATAGCATGTACTTTGTCACTTGTGTTTGTTAGCAAAAATCTGGTTTGGGTCAAATCGACAGACGTGATTCGACAGAGAAATCACAATTTCACAAACAACTACAGATCAAGTGACTGTGGTTGGTGTTCTATGCCTTGACAGATTCAAGGACTTTTTTGGAGGTTGTAATGCGAAGAAACAAGTGTGAATAAATTGAAAATCGATTGAAGAACAAGTAAACTTGCCACTCATTATAAGAATTAAATTACAAGTTCAACGTGCATGACAATCGACAGAGGAAAATTTGGCCACAGAGGCTGAATTATAAACAGACTACTCCTAAGTATAAAAGCTATTACTAACTAAGTTAAATTACTCCTAATTCCACATGGGTTGTGAATTTGATTGAAGATCTTCTTTCCTTCAAATTTCCAACCTCTATGCTGCTGGCTTTGTTGCTTCTCTGTTGTCACATGTCCCATCATGGAGCAAAATTCCTCCACTTCCTGTACAACTACCCATGATTTTCATAACAGCTGGTAGTTGTTTCTTTGCTAAAACATTTTTTCTTTTATGCACTTCTTTGCACACAAACCACGTGTCCTGTCTCACTTGCATGCCTAACTCTATGACTTGACACTTGGGCCACGTTTGGCCACATCCCATTGCATTATCAGAGGAATCGACAGAAGAAACTGTATCTGCCACATCTGCTTCTTAAATGGCTTCAACTGCCACTTGCTTTGCATTCTAGGGTCTACTCCCCACTGTAAACTTATGGTTTTCACTCCTATCATCCCTTGGATCAACCCTCTGTATTTGATATGTTTATTCGATAGAGAAGATAAATTTTAGTGCCAACAATGCCCTCCTCATTCAAGACAAAAAGATGTTTTTTTTTTTGGTTTTGAATGAATGTCAAAAAGGACAAAATAAGGTTTTGGACACTTACATATTTGGGAAATTCATTTAAGCTTATAAAAACAAACCCACGTATTAAAGTCCAAATACTTATAATAACACTCAGCCGATAAAATTGACCCAACACATGAATTCAAAAAGGCCTAACCGTTAAGCCCAACTGTTAGTAACAGGCCCAAGCTCAATTAGGAGGGTCCACCATTAGCTATTTGACCGTCAGAATTCAAATAATCATTGCTCTCATTCTCTCTGTTTTACTCTATTCTTCGCCTCTTCAAACTTTTTCTGCTTTGAAACCCTTTTTGCTTACCTTAATGACACCCAAACGAGCTCAAACCATAGGAAAGAAACAAGTAGAAACGCCACATGTGCAACATTTTCCACCTGAGTTTCAGTAGCTACTTCGCCAACATATTTTTGATAGCCGCATTATTCCTTGCAACAAAACCTTTGCCCAAGGGGAATTAGATCCAATCTTTTTTGCTAAAATCCTTGATGAACTTACCCTTCATTATCCTATTGCAGATACTGAAGTGATACTTTCCAAAAAAGTGAAGCTAGCCTGGAATCAATGGCATTCGAGCCCTAACCCCTTACGCTCGTGGCAGAAACCAAACCCTAATTGAAGACTATGGGTTCATCGCATGATGGTATACGATATTGACTTTTGGAGAGCTCTTGGCATCTATGATGCCATTTGATTGTCAACCTTAGCCCTAGACATGGACAAATGGGCTATTGGCGCCGCAGCTTGCTTTTGGTCTCTGTCTTACAATTCTCTCATTTTAAAGTTTGGTATGATTTCTCCTACTATCCTTGATGTTGCACATTTGACTGGCCTTCCTATTGCTAGCCAACATATAAGCGCACTCTTAACTCCCCAATCAATAGTCCCACTTGATACTGACCTTAGTTATGGAAAATTCCAAACCAAATACCAAAAATTTTCTGATGAACCCACTAAAGAAGAAAGAATAGCCTTTTACTTATTAAGGCTCTCTCAACACTTTTTATGTGTCCCAAGCCTAAAAATCACCAAAGAGTATTTGGCCCTTGCTGTAACACCTTAAATATTTAATTAATGCCACAACCAACTGTGATAATAATAATGATAATAATATTAATACTAGTGGGAGTGATAGTAAATTAAAATAATTAATTTTATGATAGTATGCGATAAAGTATAATTTAATTTATTATACGATTAACTAGGGTCAATGTAAGATGAAGGCAAAATAATTTAAATTTTTTTTTATAAAAGAAAAAAAAAAAAAAAAAAAAAAACATAAAAATGGTTAGAAAGCACGTCATCTTCCCCCTCTCTCTTTCAATGCACATCATCAAATAGGAAAAGATTCTAACAATTTTTTATTAATAATTGAGTGTTGGGATAATAGTAGTTCATAATAGCGTATATGGACCTCCCTTCCCTTTGCGTTATAAATACGCCCACTCTTTCAGTTTGTTGTCAAGAGCTTAAACCAAAAACATCTCATCTGGTGTCAATAGCTTTACTACTACTACAAATTTAAGAGAATGTTGCTTGGCAATGGAAACATGTGCAAATCCAAGAATCCCGCAGAGTCAGACTTATCAGATTGTTTACCAAATCATCATCATCATCATCATCATCAATTAGTAGTAACCGTGGGAAGCGAAACAAGTCGAGTGCATGCAGCTCTGAACCTCCACGAGGAGGAGGCCGCCATGCCCCCATGGCCGAGTTCCAGCAACTCCTGCTTCCACCAAAACAAAAACAACAATGTTGAGAACAAGAAGGTATGTAGTAAGTGCGACCGCGACCATGACCACGACCACGACCAAAACAACAACAGCATTAGTAATGGCATTCAGGACATGAAGAGTGTGGAGATTAATAATAATAATGATCATAAAGATCATGTGGTGGTGGAGGTAGAGCACGCTGTCAACAACGCCAATAGCTCTTTTGCTCATGCAGTCATCAACATGGTTGGAATGCTTATTGGTAAATCATTCTTTTTAATCTTTTTAACAGTTATTTGGGTTAATTATATTGATAATGCCGACATTCTGTCATTTGTGTCAATTTGATTTCTATATTTTTAATTGATTTAATTTTAATTTTTAATTTTAATTTTTGTATCAATATAGCTTAGTTGATAATGTCGTTAGGATTTTTAATAGAAAATAATTACTGAGTTTGTTGAGGTTAACTCACTGAGTTGATCAAGTTAATAATTTTACCATTAAAGCATAACACATGCAGTTCATATCCGTATTTTAAAAAAATACTAATAATTGTAATCAATTGAGATAAAATCATAAATTTAATATCAGAATCAAGTCAATTAAAATTATAAGAATCAAAAAGACACAAAAACTAAAATATAAGGACTACTAATATAATTTGTCTAAGTTATTTTATTTCTACATAAACTTATTGTAGAATTGAATACAAGCCATGTAGAAAAAACATAAGATGCACTTCATTCCATCCAATTTTTTGAACCATCATCTGAAAATAATTCATAATTCATAAAAAATAAAAATCATATTAATCCTACTAATTAGAAAAAGTTTGTGGTGCTAGACTTAACCAGCTACAAATTTGTATAGTATGAGTTTTATGTGTAGAATAAATTTGTGTCGCAAGACAGTAATTTTAAGTAATTTTTGAATTGTTTAGTTTAGGTTGGTAATATTACTGGTCTAATTAACATATATGCAGGGCTGGGGCAACTAGCAACACCATACGCATTACAAACAGGAGGATGGGCATCAGTATTCCTCCTAATCGGACTTGGCATAATCTGCTCCTACACATCCCACCTCCTCGGCCAATGTCTCTCCAGAAACTCCAAACTAATGAACTACACCGACCTCGGCCACCTCTCCTTCGGCACCAAAGGCCGAATCCTAACCACTTCCTTCATCTACTTAGAAATCTTCATGTCCTTAGTTTCCTACACCATCTCTCTCCACGACAATTTAACCACCATCTTCTCTACATCCCACCTCAACCATCTCAACAACTTTTTTTTATCTAATTGTCTCTCGACTTCTCAGTTGTTGACGGTGATAGCGGTGCTTGTGGCGTTGCCAAGCCTGTGGCTGAGGGATTTGTCGTCCATTTCGTTTCTTTCGAGTGGGGGGATTTTGATGTCGGTGGTTATTTTTGTGACGGTGGCGTGTACAGCGGTGTTTGGCGGAGTGGAAGTGAATAAGGAGGTGGCGGTGTTGCGGCTGGGGAATATTCCGGCGATATCTGGGCTTTATATATTCAGTTTTGGAGGGCATATTGTTTTTCCAGATCTTTATAGAGAAATGAGAGATCCTTCCAAGTTCACCAAGGTGCATGACTAGTTTAATCACTTTTAAATATCACAATCTTGAATTTATGGAGAGAAAAAAAAAATAGTGAATTAGATAGCGTGGAAATTATTTTATTTATCAAAATCTTATTTTATATGATTAATTATGTAGTTGATTCTCTGTCATTAGATTTAAATTGAAAAAACAAATAAAAATAAAATAAACAAAGTGAAGTTTATTCTGTTCGCTATCAACTTTTTTTCTCATTTTTTTCTCTCTTAAAAAATTCCTTCACAAACTAAAGATTAAAAATGAAATTTAAAAAATCTTTTGTTTTTAGCATTGACTCTATTTAATGTAACTTATTGGGACTAATTATAAATTAATTTTCTTTCTTTTTTTTTTTTTTTGAAATTTTAGAATTTGTGTCAGTTTCTGTTTATAAACCACAACTAATTTAAATAATCTAAAAAATTGTTGATTATGAGAAAATTGGCAGAGAATTATTTTTAATTTTTACTTTTTAACTTTTGACTTACAAAAAAAAATCCTCCAACAAACAAACTAGTTATATATGAGTATTGATGTATAAACAGACAAAAATGGTTCAATATTCTCTTCTCTCATTTTTTTTTTTTTGGGACATGTTCGTCTAATAATTTTTTTTTTCTTTAGGTATCTATAGTGAGCTTCTCATTGGTGACAGCACTTTATACAACCTTAGCCTTCATGGGTGCCAAAATGTTTGGCCCTGAAGTAAATCCCCAAATCACCCTCAGCATGCCCAGGAACCTAATATTTACAAAAATTGCATTATGGGCCACAGTTTTAACTCCCATGAGCAAATATGCCCTCGAATTTGCTCCTTTTGCGATGCAACTCGAGCGCAATCTTTCCAAATACTGTTCCATGAAATCCAGAACAAGGTTGATCATACGGGGCTGCGTTGGTTCATGTTTGCTGCTTGTAATTCTAACCTTGGCTCTTTCTGTGCCATATTTCGAGCACGTTCTGAGTCTTACAGGCTCACTTGTCAGCGTTGCGATTTGTGTCATCTTCCCTTGTACATTTTACACCAAGGTTTTTTGGACCCAAATATCAAAACCAATGTTGATTCTCAATGTAACACTGGTTTTGCTTGGCTGCTTTCTTGGGGCATCCGGAACCATTTCTTCTTTCAAGCTGCTTGTAAGGAACTTGCATAGAGCTCACTTATGATGACAAGCCAATGCAGGATAAACTAGTCTTTTAGTAATGTTGTACGATATGGAAAAATTATTAGAAAAATGATTATAAAATAAAATATGTGCATCAGATTCATTCTGAGTGTGAGGCATATCATAACAAATTTGAATCTATTTCATGCATTGTATTTTTTGGTCACTTTTTTGATAATTAGTTTTAAACTTTTTTACTTTATTTTACCTTCTCAAAATTACTTTGCGATAGCATGTACTTTGTCACTTGTGTTTGTTAGCAAAAATCTGGTTTGGGTCAAATCGACAGACGTGATTCGACAGAGAAATCACAATTTCACAAACAACTACAGATCAAGTGACTGTGGTTGGTGTTCTATGCCTTGACAGATTCAAGGACTTTTTTGGAGGTTGTAATGCGAAGAAACAAGTGTGAATAAATTGAAAATCGATTGAAGAACAAGTAAACTTGCCACTCATTATAAGAATTAAATTACAAGTTCAACGTGCATGACAATCGACAGAGGAAAATTTGGCCACAGAGGCTGAATTATAAACAGACTACTCCTAAGTATAAAAGCTATTACTAACTAAGTTAAATTACTCCTAATTCCACATGGGTTGTGAATTTGATTGAAGATCTTCTTTCCTTCAAATTTCCAACCTCTATGCTGCTGGCTTTGTTGCTTCTCTGTTGTCACATGTCCCATCATGGAGCAAAATTCCTCCACTTCCTGTACAACTACCCATGATTTTCATAACAGCTGGTAGTTGTTTCTTTGCTAAAACATTTTTTCTTTTATGCACTTCTTTGCACACAAACCACGTGTCCTGTCTCACTTGCATGCCTAACTCTATGACTTGACACTTGGGCCACGTTTGGCCACATCCCATTGCATTATCAGAGGAATCGACAGAAGAAACTGTATCTGCCACATCTGCTTCTTAAATGGCTTCAACTGCCACTTGCTTTGCATTCTAGGGTCTACTCCCCACTGTAAACTTATGGTTTTCACTCCTATCATCCCTTGGATCAACCCTCTGTATTTGATATGTTTATTCGATAGAGAAGATAAATTTTAGTGCCAACAATGCCCTCCTCATTCAAGACAAAAAGATGTTTTTTTTTTTGGTTTTGAATGAATGTCAAAAAGGACAAAATAAGGTTTTGGACACTTACATATTTGGGAAATTCATTTAAGCTTATAAAAACAAACCCACGTATTAAAGTCCAAATACTTATAATAACACTCAGCCGATAAAATTGACCCAACACATGAATTCAAAAAGGCCTAACCGTTAAGCCCAACTGTTAGTAACAGGCCCAAGCTCAATTAGGAGGGTCCACCATTAGCTATTTGACCGTCAGAATTCAAATAATCATTGCTCTCATTCTCTCTGTTTTACTCTATTCTTCGCCTCTTCAAACTTTTTCTGCTTTGAAACCCTTTTTGCTTACCTTAATGACACCCAAACGAGCTCAAACCATAGGAAAGAAACAAGTAGAAACGCCACATGTGCAACATTTTCCACCTGAGTTTCAGTAGCTACTTCGCCAACATATTTTTGATAGCCGCATTATTCCTTGCAACAAAACCTTTGCCCAAGGGGAATTAGATCCAATCTTTTTTGCTAAAATCCTTGATGAACTTACCCTTCATTATCCTATTGCAGATACTGAAGTGATACTTTCCAAAAAAGTGAAGCTAGCCTGGAATCAATGGCATTCGAGCCCTAACCCCTTACGCTCGTGGCAGAAACCAAACCCTAATTGAAGACTATGGGTTCATCGCATGATGGTATACGATATTGACTTTTGGAGAGCTCTTGGCATCTATGATGCCATTTGATTGTCAACCTTAGCCCTAGACATGGACAAATGGGCTATTGGCGCCGCAGCTTGCTTTTGGTCTCTGTCTTACAATTCTCTCATTTTAAAGTTTGGTATGATTTCTCCTACTATCCTTGATGTTGCACATTTGACTGGCCTTCCTATTGCTAGCCAACATATAAGCGCACTCTTAACTCCCCAATCAATAGTCCCACTTGATACTGACCTTAGTTATGGAAAATTCCAAACCAAATACCAAAAATTTTCTGATGAACCCACTAAAGAAGAAAGAATAGCCTTTTACTTATTAAGGCTCTCTCAACACTTTTTATGTGTCCCAAGCCTAAAAATCACCAAAGAGTATTTGGCCCTTGCTGTAACACCTTAAATATTTAATTAATGCCACAACCAACTGTGATAATAATAATGATAATAATATTAATACTAGTGGGAGTGATAGTAAATTAAAATAATTAATTTTATGATAGTATGCGATAAAGTATAATTTAATTTATTATACGATTAACTAGGGTCAATGTAAGATGAAGGCAAAATAATTAAATAACTAAGCTATAGTGTTATGAAAATTAATTTGTCATCCTGGTTATCAAATGTATAATGAAGAGAATTATTTGGAACTAAGTTAATCACTAATAAATGTGAAGGGATTGGCATGTTTAATTTCAGAGATTTGCAAATATATTGAGAGGTATGAATAGGAGCCATCTGTCCACCTAGAATTAGAAGGGGAGGAGGTGATTCATCACCATTAGGGCCATTAGGTAGGTGAGTCACCACCTAATTGCATGTATAAATAGGCGATGGTGCTATGAAGTAAAGTAGTGCTAACGGAAACAAAGAAAAAAAAAAGCAAACAAAGAGATTTAGCACAAATAGGAAGCAAGGGAAGGGCCGAAAGCTAGCGGGAATATGAAGGAGTTAGTAAGACTCAATATTAAAGTGAGCTATATTATACCTTGAGTCCCCATAATATATTTTATATATGTTTTCACTTATCATAATTTATTTTATACAAATTATATTTTATAAGTAATATTAATATTTCAATTACGTGGATTAATTTCTGAACTATATTTGTTTAAAATGAAACCTATGGATATGTTTGTTTAAATTTTAAAGAATATTTGACTATGACCTTATAAACAATTATGTTTTGTAAGTACCACCACGGGAGTCCCACGTCTTGGGGGACTTAAATAATCATTGGCCTCTGTTTGGCCACTTTGTAGTCCTCTGTTTGTCTTGGATCCATTGACCTCTGTTCTGACTGTCACTTCTGTGACCTTTGTTCTGTTCTATTCTATACCGTGGTTATGTTTATTTATTTATATAATTTCTGTATTTCAGTTTCTGCCATTTAAATAATTTATTTACCAAATTAAGTTATGTAAAAGTTTTGGCTTAACTAACTATCCATGGTTATTTTGTACTCCTTATACTCTTGGCATAATATTTCTCATTCTGCTGTGTGCTTATAGCTGTTACCCTTTCAGGTGATGAGATGTAAGGAGGAGCCATAAACTCGTGTAGTGGAACTTGTGCAAGAAATTGATACGAATCCGTTATTTTGTTTTTCTTTTCTTTTCTTCCTGTCGTTTTTTCTGATGGTCGGTTGTTGCATAATAAAATAATAAAAGCCTATGGATGTATTTTTTTTTAATAGTAAATTGAAGTAAATTTTCTTTATTTCCATTTGCCTCCGTCTGCGCCATTTAATTTATTCAAATTAGAATTTATTAGTAAGTTGCGATTCTAACCCTAAGCCCCTGGGGTTGGATCGTGACAAAGGTGGTATCAGAGCAATGGTTCATTTAAAAAAATAAATAAATAAAATAAATAAATAAATATTTACTTGCAACGTTAGTCTTTTTGTGTAAAATCTCACGTTTATTCTGGTGATGTAGGAATGTCCGAGATTAACCTTGATGATGCGTTTTGGGATGAGCTCGAGGCCATTAATTTGGATGAGATTTTAGCAAAGCACCCCGCCCCCGCCTCACCTGAAAGATGGGAAGATTCAGAGGATATAATTAGAGGACTACATCCAGGCCTTGCCCAATTGATGGGTTGGCCAATCTATATACAGGTTGATCCTACCGATGCCCCACATTTACTATGGAGGCAAAGCCGTGCCTATACGCGCAGACGTTTTCTTGGACCCACTCGTGTCCTCGGTGTTGCCCCGGGACATGATCAACCGCACTACATCATAGGCCCTCTACCCCCAGATTTTGTGGCAAGAAGGGGGAATGTGTACCCCGAAGATTATATCTTTACCACTATCCCTAACTCGCTAGAGATAATTAATATTCAAAATGTTGACTTTAATAATGACTTGTCATATATCGAGACACCCGGCTAGATTGTCGATCGAGCATTTTTAGGATACATACAGTCCGTCTCCATTTTCACAGTCTAGGCAGCGTGAATGTGTTTTGGTATAGTCTAGTTAGGATAGGAATTTGAACTTTTTATGCAACACTACTTTCCATGGTTGTTTGGCCCGTTTGACCCACCACTCCAGATTTGGTAGAAGAAAACCTTTTTGTACGCTAACCATGATGTGTTCTAATCCCTTTTTGTTGTCTTTTTTGTTTTTGTTTTGTTGTACCACAGGGATGAGACACTAACATATTCTGACTTTTGAAACAAAGATGTAATATTAATTGTAAAAATAGTAAAGTTGATATTTTATATAGATATAGATTGTGCTACACATGATTATATATATGCTGCATTATGAATGTAATACCTTGTTTATTACTTTGTAGAATGGCCAATAATGGTAACGGAAGCAAGTCATCAGTCAGTGGCACTTCGATGGAAAGAATCATGGAAAGAGCGGTTACTAGCTTTTTGCAAAGCCTTGCAGACTAACATCAACAATGGGATGCTGAAACGGCAAGAAGAACCGATTACCATAAAACAGTTCCAGGATCTGAAACCCACCACATTTACTGGCGGCCCAAACCCAATGGTAGCAAATGCTTGGGTTAAAGACATGGAAAAGATTTTTTCGCGCCCTACCTTGCACCGAAAGAAAGAAGGTAACTTTCGCCATTTTCACTTTCAAGGACAATGCATAGGAATGATGGCTTCTCACTCTGGAGAAAGAAGAAATTGCGACTTGGGCAAGATTCTTGGAAGTATTTTACAAAAAATACTTCCCCGATTTATTGCGGGAACAGAAGGCATTAGAATTCATACATCTTAAGCAAGGAACGATGACGGTGGCCGAATACAAGAGCAAGTTCACACAACTCGCTCGGTTTGTGACATACGTCATCCCCACTGAAACTC